TACTACTACTACTACTACTACTACTACTACTACTACTACTACTACTACTACTATTACTGCTGCTGCAGCTGCTGCTGCGGGCTCACCATCATGATAATCATAATAGCGATATTTGTATAACACAAATGCCAGCTCAACAGCATCCACAATACGCCTTACATTATGTATACTATCATAATATATTACTTTCCGAGCAGAACTGACATGCATAGTATTCTAAAACAATCACAACTTCCAGAGGAGCACACTATGCTTTCCGTGCTGTTATTTTATAGCCGCTGACACATTAACATAATGACAAGACTTGCCCTCTCTACGGATAGGTTCCTATTCACACTTCTGGGTGAAAACATGTACAATATTTATTTTAGGAAAGAGGGAGCAAACCACTCCTTGGCACACGCCAACAACCAACATTCTGAAATAATGTCACCCTCCTGGAAAATAAACAGTGCACTAAAATAATATTGAGAAGATTTTCGCTCTTTAATTATGACCGGGCACCCGTTCAAACGTGGTGGATTTTTCTTTTCAGACGTCAACATTTTTAAACGCCTTCATCGACACATGAAGGTAATTTAGGAGACGGGCTGCTTCGATCTTGCTTGTTTGAGCCCACCAAAGCTGGTTATGATACAAGATACAAACAGACAACAAAGACACTCGACAAAATAATATCCCAACGAGAGAAGCGGACTCAGAATCACAAGCGTCCGTGGTGTAACGGTAATACGGGGTGCCCACTTCAGCTGGATCGGGCCGATCGCCCGACTCGATCGCCAGAAACTGAAAACAAACATGTTTGTTTTTGAGGCGATTGAGTCGGACGATCGGCCGATCCCATCCGTAGTTGCACCCAGTATAAGGCGCTTCGAGTTTGATTCCTACGTGGGGGTTATATTTGTATGGTGTATATCGGTCATTCTGCTGTAATGTTGTATGTATCCCTTTCACTCTCAGCCGAGGTTGGATTGACAGGCGGAGTTGGGTGCTTGTCTGCTAAATTGTATCGAAAGTGGCGTAAAAATGCCTCAATTTACTAAAAAAGAAAACAACTTCTGTGTGCAATGGCAAACAACTCAATTACAACATCAAGGAATGGACATCAAAGTCAAAGTTGCAAGCTGCGCAGTATCAATTACAAATGATTTCGTTTCCTATCACGTAGGTAGCGACAGGAGACGCATGCATTACAGGTGGCATGCAGTGGCGATAGATATACAACGTATTCTAGTTGTCATCTCTGTCTCTGTCTCTCTCTCTGTCTCTGTCTCTCTCTCTCTCTGTCTCTGTCTCTCTCTCTCTGTCTCTCTCTCTCTGTCTCTCTCTCTGTAT